TTTCCTCTGTTTCGATTGCACATCCCACTGGTGAAATTGAGTAATGATCTCAGAGGCACAATGAGATCCAAGGGGTCTGAGAGAGGATGTGGAGGCAAGAGTGCCCTCATTTTATCCTGGGCTTTGCCGGTGATGTGCTTTTGTGACCTTAAATCATACGCTGTGTTGCTGTGCAATGATGGTAGCAGCTCTTTATCTAGGGTGCTGATTGCAGTAGTGTTGGCTGCTTCAGTCACATCTGAGCGCGGCTTGTGTTTGCAAGGCCATGCAGGATCGGTGTGTGTAATGTTCAGACTCTATGGGAAGTGTTGTGTTAGTCGAGAATTAGATAGCAACACCTTTCCTTGCATGTTCTACGCTGGTGATTCCATCAGGCTTGGTCATGCTTGTGGCAAGGTGCCGAACTCATTGGAGATCCATTCCATTGCTGATAAACTCCTCTCTAATGATCTGAATGTTCCTACAGGCCATGCATTGAGATGATGGGGTGCAGTCAGTCCCTCATGGATTGGCTGTCTGAAAGAGGAGGTGGTGTGCTGAGATACTTCAGACTGAATCATAAATCTCTTTACCTGGTGCGTGTTTCTCAATTGCTACTATTGGCTAATTAGCCCCAAGCTATTTACGTCTTCTCCTCCAAGCTATGAAATCACAATCCTGGGCTTGTGACATCACACACACACAAAAGCATGAGTTCATTTCAGGAAGGAGTGGGAACAGAAGTGATGCTAAGGGAGCTTCTGTTTAGAGACATCGGCAGGCGTGAAGGCAGCACAGACAACCCCGGCCAAGTATGTTACGTTATTTCTCCTGTCAAAGCTTGTTCTTGTTCAGATCTGCTCTTGTGTCTGGGTTCCTGTCTGAATGGATTTGATGTTTTACTAATCCCCTTGCCTCCTAGATTGTTGAGGACAAGGTGGGTGAGGTTGGGTCTCTTACTGAGCCAACCTCTGTTGGTGAAAGAAACAAGCTTTTGAGCTTATTTAGGACTTTTCTTTGGGTCTTGGATTAGAGTCTGAAAAGTTCAGAGAGTGTAATAGCTCCGGCTGAGAGAGCGTTGCCTGAAAGGGCGTTAAAGTAGCTGAATTGTGGCACTCACTTGGTGTGCTGTGTTCAAACAAGAAATCTCAGTATTTAAAGAGACACTTCTATCTGCTTTTTTTGCATAGTAATGATTCAGCGACCACTTAGTATTGCTGTAAAAGAAAGACTTAGTGGAAAAGTATTTGTCTCGTCTCTTTATTTTTTGCATAGTAATGATTCAGCAACCACTTAGTATCGCTGTAAAAGAAAGACTTAGCGGGAAAGTATTTGTCTCGTCTCTTTATTTTTTATGCTTTTAACAGTGGCAGGAGGGGGCAGTTTGGATCTTTCACGCAGCCAGCACAGCATGAATGGGAGATCTTTTGAGAAGTGGTTGTAAAGCCACAAATATTGGCATGTGGGCTCTCGGGCAGGGAAAATCCTTTAAATTATGAACGCTGGTGTTTGAAATTGACTCTTTCAGTCTGTTGGGGCCACTTTAAAGGCAGGACGTGTAAATAGTCGGTCTAGAACCGCCCCGATTTGCTCTGATGGCTTGAAAGGGAAGGGGTATTGTGGGTATGACGGGATTCTGTGAATTAGTATGAAAAGAAATGAACACAGCTTAGCTACCAACACAAGACCTCGTTTATTTAGACAGTACAGTTTGCCTGACTTGTAAATTGTACTGTAGCTCATCTCCTAGAAACAGCGCAGTCTTGTTACAAGTTTTCCTTGCAAGGTAGGAAGTTAGCAACAGATACTGCAAGGTTGGCCAAGGTTAGTTTTCTGTGTTATGAAGTATGTGAACTCTTGTTGTGTCATGTAAATGCCTGTTAAACCCTTTGGTTCGCTTATGTTGGGATCTGGACGAGGGATCTGTGGTCTACATGCTTTCAAATGTAAATACAAAATATTGAATGACCGGGTATTAATACCAGACCTGTTTTTTATATTGGAGGCTCTCTGCCGATGAGTATTTTTGTGCTTTTCTGCGCTGGTTCTGCTGTGTAAAGTTTTCCTCCTCCCAATTTTTGGCTGGCGCACGGGTGACTCCCGGTTTGACAAGCGAGTCCTGGCATTTGTCACATTCCAATTCCATTAGCTGCCACTGTTGGAGTGTTTTAATTTTGTAATGTTATGTAGTCAGACTAATGGCTCTGGCAGGTATTGGTGTCTTGTAGTCACCTGGTGACTCACCATCTTGTGCCTTGATCTACTTCCTGAGGTAAATGTTTCGTTGTAGGCGGTGGATGGTTTGTGCAGGCTGTGAAAAGCCAAGGTTATATAAAGGCCTAAGAGGTGCTGATTTGCATTGTGCTAGGCAAGCTAGCTCTGAAGACAGTGTGCCACTTAAGCATTGCTGTCAGCTGTTTTAAATGAGGAGATTGCTCTATGCACAGTTAGGCTGTGAAATACGCTCCCATTGGGCACTTTGGGATCATAACCTCCACACTACATCAGCTTTTCAGGCACTTGGCTGGCCCGTTGGGACCTGAGCCCTTCTGGAAATCTGGCATTAATGCTTGTCTCAGGGAGTGGCTCAGGAAGAAGAGATTTACCCGGCTGTGACCGAGGGGTGCGGACGCCAGGTCGCGTCCCTCTCCCGTGCTTCCAGATGACGATTTACACTGTAAAAGATGTTGATACATGCGTGGCTTGCAGCTCCCAGCCGGGAATTCTGCAGCGTTCGCTCTTGATCAGTCCCGATGAGCTGTAGGTGTCCCAAGCCTGTTGCATCCCTGTGCGAGTTGCCTCCTGCTGAGGAGGAAGCCGTGTAGATGGCCTGGGAGGAGGATCAAGGCAGCTGGTTTTTTCCTTTCTGAATTGAGACGATCAGGTTAAAAATGAATTGGAGTCTGGTGCACTCGCCTGTTGATGCTTCCTGTCAGGGATGCGAGTGGTTAACCGGTAAACATCACCCTTAATAGGAGATGTTTACCACTTGCAGTTAACCAGTGGGGGGCTCCAGCCTGGGGTCCCTCCAGCCCCACTCCTCCCCCCCTTTAATCAGGAAGTAAGTGTTGATCCTTCTTTGCTAGGGACCTAAGAGCAGGCCCAGAGAGAGAGTCTGGGGGATACCCCGGATTCCTGCAGATGGCAGTTGCTTCTCCAGGAATCTTGGCACCGATCTCACATCTTACGCTGGCCAGGAGGAGGCACTCGAAGCTCTCAGGTGTCGCTGTCCTGTGGCCAAGCCCTCGGAGAAGCGTCTGCTGGGCCAGAGCTGCAGGGGGATGTCGGTGTGGCACCGTGCCTTACAGCTCTGTGCTTGGCATCTGCCCACGGGTCGGTCCCAGGGTGCCGCGTTGTCATGGCAGCTGCAGTGCAGGAGTGGGGTGCCCTGGAGAATGTGGCCCGCTTGTGCCAGTTGCCCTGGCTGGGCCCACCACTCCTGCTGTGGTGGTGCTGACAGGGCCTGGGGCCCCTAACTGGTTCTGTCTGAATTCCAGGTACATGAGGGATCAAACGCTCCACGGACACTACGCAGACTGAGCCGGCCAGGAGAAGGGGAAAGATGCCGATCCCTCCCCCCCCTCCACCGCCTCCCGGCCCCCCTCCACCACCAACTTTTAATCAGGTGAGCGCCCCCCCATCCTCCCTTCCTGGGGCTAGTTCTATTCTGCCTGACTCCTTCCTTTCTCCAAGGGCGATGGGGTCGCTCCCCTTTGGGCTCAGCCAATGCCCGTGTACCACGAATGATGCTCTGCAGAGGGATGTGTCAGTTAAGCGATGCCGGGGATGGCTCCCGGCCTGGTGATTCTGTCTGTCTGCCCACAACAGTGTCCTCTTGGGGCTCAGCTGGGCGGCCGGGTAGTGTGTGGGCACGGCCGGATTTCCCGATGTTCATTGGCAGAACTCCTGGAGCGAGGCGGGGCCCTGCGAGGGCGAGGAACATTTTGGGACCGTGGGGGAGGAGACGAGGGATGAGAGGTGGCCAGTGGGCCAGCGGTTCCCTCGCCTGCCAGTTGGGAGTGGCCCTGCTTCTTCCAAAGCCAGGTGTAGCTGGGCAGCGGGTGATGTGTGAGCTGCTTCTGCAGGGCTGCTGCCTCTTTACTCCTCCTCTGCCCCCAAGTGGCCCCGAGGGAGAGCAGAGAATCTCGGGGTGGTTGAGAGGCCCCTGGCGGAAACGGGGACACTCTCGTGCCTGGGGTAAGGAGGAGGGCGACTGGAGCAATGTTCCTCTTGTGGGCTTTGGGGGGGATCTTGTGCCTGATGCTGAGCGGGAGGGCTTGAAGCAGGAAAGGACGGCGCAGCCCCTGGGGCTGCCATCCGGGCCGGAATGGGAGGCTCAGTCCGCCGTCGGCCTCCCGTCACTGACGCGCTTTCTCTCTGCAACGCTCCTCCCATCTCCAGGCCAACATTGAGCCCCCCAAGCTGAACCGAGACGAGCAGCGAGGCCGAGGCGCCCTGCTCCAAGACATCTGCAAAGGGACCAGACTGAAAAAGGTGACGCAGATCAATGACCGGAGCGCGCCCGTCCTGGAGAGTGAGTACGCCGGGGGGGTGGGCCCAACCGGCACCGGGGCTCCCTCCAGCTGCACTTCCAGCCCCTCCCTCAGGCGCTCCTCTGGGCTGCTGCTGGGAAGGGCGTGCGGTTGTGAAACTGCAGCCGCCTGGCCCAGTTGGTCTCCCCCCACCTCTTTGCTTAGAGGCTTTCGGCGCTTCCCAGCCTCACGGAGCCCCCATTCTGTAAACACGCTCCTGAGCCCCGCCCCCTGGCTGGGGCCAAGCTGGTGCCCAGCTGTCGACGTGCCAGTGATCCGCAGCTCCAGGACAGCCCTGGGAGGGGTCCGTTTCTAAGAGGAGAGGCGGGGGAGCAGGCAGAGCTGCTAGGGGCCCTGCATGTCTGCCTGGTGCATCGTTGCTGGGGCCCGGACCGTCTGGAGCTGGGATGCTCCACCTCAAAGCAGCAGGAAGAAGAGGGACCCCGTGGGCAGGGGCTGCATTAGGGACTGAGCGTGGGCCCCTCTCATTTCAGAACCCAAGGGAGGTGGTGGCAGCAGGTCCCGGTCAGCAGCGCTCCAAAGCTCAGACCTGTGGGAGCAAAGGAAAACTCAGGTACCCAGTCGGTAACGTGCTGGAGAGCGAAATGCAGCCGGCGCTGCTGGGGGGCCGGGGCGCGTTGCAGCACATTGCAATGCACCCATCCCTGCGTGTGGGGCAACGTGGAGGCGTGGTTTGATGTGCTCCTTCCCAATGCCCCACCCTCACTAAACTCTGAGGCATGACCATTCCCAGAAGGGTTGGGGGGGTCTCGCACCATGGAGGAAGGGTTACTGGGCCTGGCCAGATGAACACAGGCCCGAGAGCCAAGCGCTTCGGGGTGTAACTCCCAGGTTTGACAGCCGTTCCGTCTGGGACTTTGCGCAAGCAATTGCTTGCCCTGTGCCTCCGTTTCCCCATCTGTCCCATGAAGAGCAGTGTGTCCCCTAGGCTGGGGTGAGGCTTGTCAGCATCCGTCGTGCCTCGGGAATGGCCGGAGGAGCACAAAGCATAAACAGGAGAACGTTACTTTGCCTTTCTTCGGTGCGTGCACTTGGCCTTCAGGACCCGCGAGGGGTAGTAAGTGCTGCCTGCACTTCCCTTTCTC